TGACTGTTACTGTATATTGTCTCTGTTCCTTTCTGGTTTATGTTACTTTTAGGTTCTCTCTTTGCTTAGAGGATCCCTTTCAATATTTCCTGTAGGGCTGGTTTGGTGTTTGCAAATTCTTTTAGTTTTTGTTTGTCCTGAAGATTTTATCTCTCCTTCTACTTTCAATGACAGTCTAGTTGCATATAGTATGAAAGAAATTGAGGAAGACACAAAGAAATGGAAAAATGTTTCATGCTCACGGACTGGAAGAACAAATATTGTGAAAATGTCTATGCTACCAAGAGCAATCTACACATTTAATGCAATCCCTATCAAAATACCATCAACTTTTTTCAAAGAAAAGATTTCAGTGAAATCTGTTAAATTCTAAGCAACGAAGAGCCAGAGGCTGAGAATACAAGTAGAACTCAAAAGAAATCCAAGTAGAAAGAGGTGACTAAGGAGAGTTTTCAGCCATCCAGCAGGGCTAGAGAGCCAAAACTTACAAGTCAGGCTTGACAAGGCAGCCAAATTTGAGAAGCTAAGATTTGAAAGATAGGAGGGCAAAGACACCACTGGATGCCAGTTCAACAAGGCATCTTATTAATTCTTAAGCTGCACAGGGCACTTTTTAAAACAAAAAGTTGATGAAAACTGAATAGAGATTTCAACAGTCTCATGGTGCTAGTGAATCAAAAACTGAAGTTCAAAAACCACTACAGAGGAAGAACTTAGTAAATACTCCATGCCTTCAGCAGACTTCCCTGTACAGCAATATGCTTATAAATGAAGGTGAGTACAGGTAAATTGAAACTTATGAAGACCCAGCTCAGGCTCTGACTGACTGAAATAATCTGCTCTATTCTAATAGTCCTCCAGACTAAGGGAGAATCACCTACAATGGATGAAATTATCATTCAGAGCCAACAGTTCTGTGTTCAGGGGTTAAGCCAGTGTCCTAGGATCGAGCCCCGCATCGGGCTCTCTGCTCAGCAGGGAGCCTGCTTCCCCCTCTTTCTCTCTGCCTGCCTCTCTGACTAATTGTGATCTCTCTCTCTGTCAAATAAATAAGTAAAAATCTTTTTAAAATTTTTTAAAAAATACAATAAAATTTAAAAGTCAAAGATGTGTTTAATGGCAGAATAGACACAGCTGAAAGTGGGATTAGTGAGCTACAAGACAGTTACAGATAATATACAAGCTGAAACATGTGTTATCTATGGGAAAGAACCACAAGACAGATCTGTTAAACCATCAAAGAACTGTCAAATTATTTTAATCTTAGGTATTAGCATATCCCAATTATCTGTACTATTCTAGAGCGTGATAGGAGTGAATACAGCTTGAACTTATTCATGTTTAGAGGGTGTCTGAAATTAAGAACTAAGCAGATCCATCTACTCAGACCCTCAACGTGGCCCTAAAGTAAACTGCTTAAAGAAACTGGATCCTAAATATTACAGCTGGTGAAGTTCTGAAGCATGTCCATATTCAAGTGGAGATCCAAGAAGTCAAACTGAAAGAACTGTGGACTGAGCGAACTTCTTTGAAAAGATTCATTTATTTATTTTGAGAGAGACAATGAGGGGGGTGGAGAAAGAGTGGATGAGCGGGGAGGAAGGGCAGAGGGAGTGAGAATCACAAGCAGACTCCCCACTAAGCCTTGCACTGGGCTTGATCCCACAACCCTGAGATCATGAACTGAGCTGCAGTTAATGACTGGACGCTTAACTAACTGAGCCACCCAGGCACCCCACAAAATTTTTTTTTAAAAGCGCTACCTTGAAGATTATGACTTAAACTTTAGAAGAACTAAGGTGATTGGCAGTGGAAGGAATCACAACATGTGTAACTACTTAACTAAAACTGTCTTAATTTTTGAATCAACAAATAAACCAAATAAATCTGAAGAATGCAGTATCCTTCAGACATTAAAAATATAGTAAAGGTAACAAACTGACGGTTGCCAGTGGAGAGGGGCAGGAAGTGGCAGCAAAATAGATGAAGGAGCTAGAGAAACAGGCTTCCGGTTACAGAATGAGAAGCCACAGGATGAAAGGTACAGCATAAGGAATACAGTCAACAGTACTGTCACAGCATTGTATGGTGACAGACGGTAGCTACACTTACGGTGAGCATAACATATGGAGTTGTCAAATCCCCTTTTTGTACACACGGAACTAATGTAATATTGTGTGTCAACATACTTCAATTAAAAAAACAACACAAAACGCAAATATATATGTATATTAAAAAACTTTATACCAGTAATGTTTAGAATTTAAACAAAACATACATTTCTGGAAAAACAAAACTTATAAAAACTGACACAAAACTGGGGCACCTGAGTGGCTCAGTCAGTTAAGCCTCCAACTCTTAATTTCAGCACAGATCATGATCTCAGGGTCATGAGATCCAGCCCCGCATTGGGCTCTGCGGTCAGCATGAAGTCTCCTTCTTTCCCTCTCTCTTCCTCTGCCCCTCCCCTCACTCATTCAATCTCTCTAAAATAAATCTTTTTTTTTTTTTAAACCTGACACGAAACAGAAAAATGTGAATTAGTTCTTTATCTGTTAGAAAGACTGAATCCATAACTGAAGACCATCCACAAAGAAATCTGTAGGCCCATATGGTTTTACCCATGAAATCTCCAAACATTTAAAAATAAATATCACTAATATTACACAAACACTTCCGGAGAAAAGAAAAAAAAAACAAAAAAACTTCCCAACTCATTTTATAAGGCCAGCATAATCTTGATACCAAAACTTGACAGGATATTACAAGAAAAGAAAATTCCAAGCTGGTATATCTTATGAATATAGATACAAACATTCTAAGCTATATAGCAAACCAACTTCAGTAATATGTGGAAAGGATAATATAACTGATAAAATTATATTTCAAAATAACAAGTTGTCATAATGTGTAAAATAATTTCAAAATAACAAGTTGTCCTAATGTGTAAAATAATAATCAATGTAGTTTGTCACATTAACAGATTAGAGAAAAACTATATACTCATCAATACAGAAAATGAAGTTTATAAACTTAAACAGTTACTCATAATTTTAAAAAAACTCTTAGCATATTAGGAATAGAAGGGCAACTCTTGTAAAAAGTCAGATTTAAAACAAAAACAAAAACAAAAAAAGTTATAACAAACACCAGAATGGTGAAATACTGAATGCTTTCCCCCTAAAGTCATGAAGAAACAAAAATGCTCACTGCTCACCCTCAACACTGTATTGAAGTTTCTGGCCATTGCAGTATGATAAAAGAGAGAAAGTACATAGATTGGAAAGGAAGAACTAAAGCTGTCATTATTCACAGGTAACACAAATGTGTATATATAAAATCTAAAAGAATCTACACACTATTAGAATTAAGTGACTTTAGCAAGGTTGTTGGATACTAGTTCATTTACAAAAACACAAAATGCACTTCTATATATGAGGAAGCTTATTTCTTAAATGACACTTTATGATAACATCAAAAAGTGTCTAACACTTAGTACATTTAACAAAGGATTTGTAAGTCCTATGCACACACATACACATAAACCATTTGGAAACAACACTGAAATTACAAGAATATCTAAATAAATGGACAAATAGATCACTCATGGGCTGGGAGACTCAATATTATTGACAGTAGTCAACTGTCCCCAAATTCACAAAATTCCAATCAAAATCCCAAGCATGTTTTTGTATAGGCATGTGATTTGATAAGCTGATTCTGACATTTATATGGAAAGGAAGAGAACCAAGAATAGCCAAGTCAATCTTGCAGAACCACACTGGAGGACAGAAGTTATCAGATATCACAGCTTACTACAAAGCTACAGTGACAATGTGGTATTGGCTCAAAGACAGATAACAGGCCAGTAGAATACAATAGGGAGTCCAGAAATAAACCTCTCTATAGCCTCCCATGTTTATGACAAAGAGACATTGAAGTATAGTGGAGAAAAGATAACTCTTCAATAAACAGTGCTGAGGCTATTAGATATCCACATGGGGAAAAAAGTATCCTGACCTCTTCCACATATTATATTTTTAAAAGGTAATAAAATAATAAGCTTCTTGGAAATAAAACAGTAACAACTTATTGAAATAGGCAAAGATTTCTTAACCAGAACACAAAACACACTTATATTAAAAGGAAAATTTCACAGACTGCAGTACATTGAAATTAGGAAACTCTTGTTACAGCTGATCTGTGGCCCACTATTTGGAAACCTCTTAATCTATACAGTCAGATAATTTACTCAACTCTCATTATGTAACGTTCACATAACTACTTTTGCTTTTGTGATGGATAATATCTTCATTTATGAAATTAAATCCATAAAACTCATAATAAGAACTTCAAATAATAGTGATTTCTAACAGCTAGGATTTTTAATAACTACTGGAAACTCAATAAGGAATCAAGTACAATTTGAATTTAATGTACCAAGTGGCACGGTTTTTTACTTATTTCTAAAAATGCAGTTTTACTTCTAATACTAAATTCTACTAATAATACTCAGTTATCACAGATGATAAAAATGGCAGGGAGGCACCCAGTGCCCTGTAAAGGAGACATGAGGAAAAGCCAACTTAAATCATAGTAAAGGCCCAGAGCTGCTCTCTGGCTAGCCGAGGTCAGTCATTTCCTGCAACAAAAATAATCTCAAAGATACAAAGTAATAAGCCTGTTCTTCTGTTTATTTAAATTATAAAATCAGGTGGTTCATCTAGGATCATAGCTACAATAAAACAAACCTTTCTCAGAGTGGGGAAAAACAGTTATACATTATTTTACTCAGAAAAGCCCTTAGGCGAGAAAGGGAGAGAAGTATAACAAAGATAGTATATCAGTTTCTAGAATGCACAAATTTAAAAAGGTATTAATGAAAAATTTCACACGGTCCAACTCTCATTCTCTGCTCATGCCACAGCTCATAAAGACAATGTACATTTATCTTTTACTGTGTGAAGGACACTGTGTTTTCTCAACTACCAAGCATTTACCTTTGCAGCAAGCTGTAGTCCAATTTTGTCAGCTTCAGCCTCTAATGTTCTACTGTACGGTCTATCAAACATATACTAAGAAGAAATAAGAAAGAGAAGCTCCATTAAGGATATTTATTTCATAGTAAAAGGAGTAACAAAATGTAATTTTTGAAATTAATTTCATGGAGCATCTAGGATAAAGTTTTTATGCTCCCCATGATTAACATTTAAAGAATACCATGATATAAAATAGAAAGTGCAGCTTTTATTTCCTCCATCACAGATTAATATTTTAAAACATGAAAAGAATATTAAAAAAATTATGCCTACAGGGGCGCCTGGGTGGCTCAGTGGGTTAAAGCCTCTGCCTTCAGCTCAGGTCGTGATCCCAGGGTCCTGGGATGGAGCCCCGCGCGTTGGGCTCTCTGCTCAGCAGGGAGCCTGCTTCACTTCCTCTCTCTGCCTGCCTCTCTGCCTACCTGTGATCTCTGTCTGTCAAATAAATAAATAAAATCTTTAAAAAAAAAAATTATGCCTACAGACTTCTGGAGACTCTACAGTATCACATGGAGTACAGCAATCCCCCTTACCCACAACTTCAGTTTCCATGGTTTGAGTTACCCACAGTCAACAATGGTCTGGAAGCAGATGGTCCTTCTGACACACGGTCAGGTCTCTAGCAGCCTAGTAATGCACCACAACGCCTACATCATTTACCTCACTTCATCCCGTCACATAGGTATTTTACATCTCACATCATCTCAAGAAGTTGATGCAGTACAATAAGATATTTTGAGAGAAGCCACACTCACATAACTTTTGTATAGTATGTTGTTATAATTGTTCTATTTTATTATGAGTTACTGTTGTTAATCTTTTATTGTGCTTAACTTATAAACTTTATCACAGATATGTATGTACAGGAAAAAACACAGTATATATAGGATTTGCTACTATCTGAGGCTTTAGGCCTATCCACTAGGGGTCTTGAATATACTCCCCTCCCCACACCCCATGGATAATGGGGTAGGAGGAGTTATTACTGTACAGGTATCCCCCATTTTCCAAAAGTTTGCCTCACATTACGTTGCTTTTACAAAAGACCTACATTAGTACCTGTTTTCACTAACCAAAAAAAATCCAAAGAGTATGTTTACTTTTATGAAAAAAAAGCCTAAAACCAAAGTGATAAAACATGAACTTTCAGAAAGCAGTGGATACCCACACTTCTATTTTCCCAATTATAATTTCTACCTACTGTGTAGAAGATCCCCTAAAGAAAGCTCATTAATGTAAGTTTTAATATTTTGATCATTTTGTTCTTACAGTCTTAAATATTTTTTTTTTAGTTTTATTTATTTGAAGAGAAAGAGAGAGCACAAGTAGGCAGAGCAGCAGACAGAGGGAGAAGGAGAAGCAGACTCCCCAATGAGCAGGGAGCTTGACACAGAACTTGATCCCAGGACCCTGGGATCAAGACCTGAGCCAAAGGCAGATGCTTAATCGACTGAGTCATCCATGTGCCCCAGATCTTACATTTTTTAAAGAAAACTGAAAAAATATAGCTAGATAATAACCACTGACACTACTAGAGAATTTATTTCAGTTAGAAAATTAACCATAGAGCAGACTTTTCTTTCTTTGATAAATTATCTTAATGCTATCTTTCTCTGCTAAGTATTGATTAGTTAGGGAAATGAAATTTTCTTTCAACTTCAATAAAAAAATACAAATAGATATCATAATTTTAACTTTCCTAATTACTTGTATTTATGTGAATGCTTTCCAGTTAAATTCTAATTTTCAGTAAGTACTAAAATTTGTATGCGATGGATCAATAGGCAGGTCTTTTGAGAACACAGTTATCAATAGAGGAACACTTTTTCAGAGGTAGCTACATGTCAGTGATGTCTAGAAATAATATAATCAATATAATCCATAGTACATGGACTACTAGATATGTCTTTCTTCCTTCTCAATCCTGTCTTTTTTAGGCTGCTTAACTGTATTGTATCATGTCATCACTCTCAATGAGCAGTCTGCAGGGGTCCATCAAGTCTACTGATAGCATAACTGGTTAAAAACATGGGCTTTAAAGGACAGAAACTTACACTCAAGTCCAAATGCTGACATTTACTAACTGTGAACCCCTGGCTAATTGTTTAACCTCTCTAGGCCCAGCAGCATCATATGTAAAATGGAGTAGCAACAGCACCAACCTCCTAGGGTTGCAGACAGGATAAATTGAGAAAATAATAATAGCAGCGCCTATTTAACGAGTCCTTACTTTGTACTGGGTACTACACTAAATGCTTTATAATCACTGGTTCTCAACTGGATATGATTTTGTCCCCCAGGGACATTTGGAAATGTTTGGAGACTTCTTTTTTTTTTTTTTTTTTTTTTTTTTTAAGAGAGAGAGAGTGCACACAAGTGGTTTAGGGACAGAGGGAAAGACAGAATCTTAAGCAGGCTCTACACTCAGCACGAGCCTGATGTGGGGCTCAATCTCATGACCCTGAGATCATGACCTGTGCCGAGAGATCATGACCTAAACCAATAAGGATCAAGAGTCAGACACTTAACTGAACCACCCAGGCACCCCTGGAGACATTTTTGATTGTCACAACTGTGGGGGAGGGCAGATGTGGGTGAAAGTACTACTGGTATCTAGTGGGTAGAGGTTGGATGTTCAGAGTAGATGTTTAGAGACTAAACATCCCACAATGCATGGGACAATTCCCCACAACAAAGAATTATCTAGTCCAAAATGTCAACGGGCTTAGATTGAGGGATCCTACTTTAAAATGCATCATTAGGGGCGCCTGGGTGGCTCAATGCGTTAAAGCCTCTGCCTTGGGCTCAGGTCATGATCCCAAGGTACTGGGATGGATCCCCACATCGGGCTCTCTGCTCAGCAGGGAGCCTGCTTCCTGCCCTCTCTCTGCCTGCCTCTCCGCCTACTTGTGATCTCTGTCTGTCAAATAAATAAATAAAATCTTCAAAAAAATAAAAATAAAATAAAACAAAATGCATCATTAAACCCACAATAGTGCTCTGAATTAGCCATTAATATGCCAATTTACAGATGAAGAAACTGAGACCTATAATTGGTGAAGTAATCTGCCTAGGTTCTATAGAATTTAGGTCTAACAGAGCCTAAATTCAAATATAGGTCCATCTGCTCACAGCTAGTGTTCTTAACCCCATACATAATTAATCTAGTGTTTATCCTCGTACCTAACATATGGTAAGTAACCAATAAATCTTGTCACTAATAGCTTCTAAAACCCTACCTGGTAGCACTCTATGTGGGCTACTATATTATACCTAAATCTTTTAAAATTACAAAAATATGACTCCCCAATGGTTATGTGAAGACTCCTGTTTCTTCTTTTCTCTGACAAATGAATGTCAGCAATTCCCCCTCCTTTTTGACTTCACTATCCACATCCCCTCCGGCTCTCCAATCATAAGGAGCAAAGCTTTCTAGAGAAACTTTTCCTCATCACCAAAATTACTGGGGGAGTCTTGATTTAGGGAAAAAGAGCTCAAAAAGAAGTAATCCCTACTTTATTTTTAGTTTAATTATTAAAGAATTATATGAAGTAGCCCGATTCATGAAGTATTTCAAGGGAGAAACAGCTACAAGTTATCTTTCTTATGACAAAATCTTCAGAGTACATTACAGAAAAAAGCTATGTACTGATAAATGAGGGGAAAACCACATTAATTCCTTTGACTTCCCAGCATATCAATAAAAGAAATAAAATTCTAAATATGAAACCCTATAACCTAAGTAATTACAATTCTTTTTTCCTTTTAAGAACCTTTATTTCAATAGACATGCAGCCAGACGATACAGTAACACTGAATACAAGACTTAGTTATCCAATTTCAAAAGCATTTTGTCTCATTTTACATATTAGATTTAAACAACACCCAGATGGCACAATGATGGGTCCTCCACAAATCATTAAATAAACAAATAACAGATTGTTCCTGAATAACCAAACCTCCCAGGACAAGAGAAAATATATGAAAAAAAGATGTAAAATAAAATAATTAATCATAGTTAACAAAGCAATTATCAAGATTGCAAGAACTACTTTCAGTAGTGAAGTGTTCTGAACAAAATGAGGACCCCAATAAATTTTACAAGGATTATCAACATACATAAGTACTAAAATAAAAGTTAACAAACACCTAATAAGATTATCCTTTCAGGGGCGCCTAGGTGGCTCAGTGGGTTAAGCCTCTGCCTTCAGCTCAAGTCATGGTCTCAGGGTCCTGGGATGGAGCCCCGCATCAGGCTCTCTGCTCAGCAGGGAGCCTGCTTCCCCACCCCCCTGCCTGCCTCTCTGCCTACTTGTGATCTCTGTCTGTCAAATAAATAAATAAAATCTTTAAAAAAAAAAAAAAGATTATCCTTTCAGTATTTTCCAGGTAATTTTAATTTAACTGGGAGTAAGGAGACAAGGGTGGTAAAGCAGCTTTAGCAACACTGTGCCCATAAAAATTTACATGTTTTAACAGTTTCCCATCAGAATGCAAATATCTGGGGAAAGGGAGAGTCATAGTAAGTACACCACAGTCACTATGAGAGACAAAACTGAAAAGTCTGAAGGTAAAGTGATAGAAGAAAGGAAAGGATTTGTGACCAGGTTTTCTCTCCTTTAGACCAATAATTATGTACCCCCCAACACACACAAACACAGTATTGTATTAGCCAAAAGTTGCTAAGCCCTTGTAACACATCTATCCCCCATCATTTAAGAGATATAGTATCTTCTAATTGGAATGCTCATTATTAAGAATATCCCCTAAAAAAAAAATATGTTTATAAAAAATAAAATTAAAAAAAAAAAAAAAAAAAAAGAATATCCCCTAAAGGGACGCCTGGGTGGTTCAGTTGGCTAAAGCCTCCGACTCTTGATCTCCGATAGGTCATGGTTTCATGGGTAGTAAGGTCGAACCCCGCTGGCTCTACACTCTGTGGGGAATCTGCCTCTCTCTCTCTCTTTCTTTCTGACCCCTCACCCTGCTGATGCCTGTGTGTGTGTGTGTGTGCATGTCTGCGTGTGCTCTTTCTCTGGAATAAATCAATCTTAAAAAAAAAAAAAAGAAGAAGAAGAAGAAGAATATCTCCTAAAAATGAGAAAACTTAGACACTAAAATTTAGTAGCTGTATTTCATGGTATGTCAAAACATCTCTGGTATATCTCTGGTATCTGTTACTTTATAGTAATACTTAAAATATCCTCATCACAGGCCATCACAAATTCAACTTACTGTCTCACACTTACCTCCTGCAGTTTAGACTGTATCCACTGGCCCAAAAGTGCCAAACTATCTCGAGGGCAAATGGCCCAAATCATTGTGAGAAAAATCAGACCTAGGAAATCCAATAAATGAACCAAGCTAGCCTTTTCTGCCTGAGAATAATCAAAATAATGAAAATTACTTTTAATAAATTAAGAATATACACCAAAAAATAAAAAGACAGTATATACCTGTATTTTCTAGTTCATCAAGTGTAATTACATTAAATAATTTACATTTTAACTGACCTTCACCAACTAAAATTGCATATTCTTCTTCTTCTATGTGCATTAATTCATTCCCTCCCTTGCTTACATACTTGCTTATGTGTATGTACATTCATTCATTCATTTACCGAGCCACATAAGATCATTTAGACACAATGACAAGTTCATGGATATGAATGTATATTCTTATATAGATATATAAGAATGTATGCTTCTTTTATTAACAAGCATAATAATCTTGTGAAATAGGTAAAATTACCCTATTTTATAAAGAAACTAAGATGGGGAAAAGTTAACAGAGTTGCCAAAATTCACAGAGCTATTAGTAAAAGGACAAACCCAGGAAGTTTTAGTTTCTAATATACTCGTTACCTTTTAAAGCAACCAAATGTGCTCATTACGCTTATACCTTTGAACAGACTAAATACTACCTAACATATGAAATAGTTAAAACACAGAAAATTCAGAAAAATATTGGAAATTTATTTCAAATAAAAGTCTTTTGGACTTTATGACCTAATATATGAGGTATGATTCATCTATGCAAGTTTGCAATTTTATCACTCTGGTATTTCTCACTAGGAAACAGAGTTCTATGAAGTTTTATATTTATTTAGAACAGTAACCAATTTTACTTAAAATAGCTGTTTTGAGTAGTAATTTCTAAATGCAAGTTTAACACACTGGATTGTTTATCATTCCCTACTAAAGCTGATTAATAAATGTTAATGTAATGCTGATATTGACTGTATAGGAATCATTACTTGAATGTATGAAACAAGGCTGACAACTAAACATAATCACTTAGAACACTTCTCTTAATGATATAATCTACCCTCACAAAGCATTCTTTGCTTTATTATATGAACGGTGTATCATGAAAAACAATTATGGAATTACTTTAGCACAAAAGAATAAAACTACAAATGATAAAGTCATTACTGAAGAGAACATCCTTGTTATTAATTATTAAAGAATATAATTGCTATTAGAGAGTTTTAGAAAACTAAAAAAATTTTTTAAATATGTATTTGTAGAAGAAAGAAAACATTAAAGGCTATATGAAATCAAAATGGAGACTGCTAAAAGAGAAAATACACTGCTGATAATGTGTAAGACCTCTACAAAAAATATTAATAGCTTTTTTCAATTTTTAAGACTGGTATTTTCTTTTTGTATCTTATCTAATTAGCATTCCTGTCCTGACCGAGATGACAACAATATGCTGAATGAGGCACTGAACTAGAGGCCAGAAAGGTAAAGGCACAGAATATGAACATCTCTTAAATGCTAAAAATGACCAATATTAATTGAGAGGTATGAAGCCCTTTCTTGAAAGACAATCTATTTTGATTGTTTAGATTTATTCTTATACATATCTGTTCATGGAAAATGTTTTTTCTATTTTTCCATAACTCAAAAGAAATGACGGAGATAATTACTATTTGTTCTTCAAAAAAACACAACTGTGGCCAACCTCAATTTATTAATACTTTAAGGAATAGACAGAATTTGAGATGACTTTTAGAGAGATTAGTAACATTATCATCTCCACTTAAAATTAGTGTTACTTGCATTTCCAACATAGCATTTCACGATTCTTTTACTATTTATCTTCTTGTTTTCAATTAGGAAATATATGTCTTTCTAATTAATGTGGACAAAAGAGACACGTTTATTTTTAACGAATAAAAATAAATATATGAGTAAATAAATATATTGGGTTTTTTGGACTCATACCAAGTCAAACAGATGTGGATTCACAGGAATATAAATCAACCTTAATTCTATGATCCATTTAAATAAGCTCTACCAATAATCAGGTAACTATGGTAAAAGGAAGCAGTGTTGGATTTACAAACACAAGAACTGGGTTAAAATCCCAATCTGTCAGTTGGCCTCATTACTCATGTTACTTACAGTCTTTTTAAACATGAGTTTCCTCATACAGAATTATAGAGATATTAAGTACATACTTAATGAGACTGTTATTAAAATTATAATTGAGAAGGTATGTATTTAAAAGCTCAGCAAACTATAAAATGGCAAGATATCATTATTATTACTCTGCATTAATTATATATGGCATATCAATCCAGAGATTTTCAGAGATGCTCCAAGCAATCCTCTGAGAATGAATAAAAAAGTAAGAAAACTGATTTACCCACTTAAATAGTAATATCACTTTCATATAGTTAATTTTCTGAACAGATTACAAGTATGTTAATAATTATGGAAAGTTTAAAATCTAATTTGAAGTAATTAGAGGTTGAGAATAATTACTTTTTAGCAAAAGAGACAGGTGATAACAATACTACTTAAGAGAAATACTAATTATTCAGGTATCGAATACTAAAGACCATAAAAATTCTCACAATTACCCAATCATATTTATTCAGGTATCAAATACTAAAGACCATAAAAATTCTCACAATTACCCAATCATATTTTTTCAGGTAACAGAATAAGTCAATTACTAAAGATTAAAATTCTATCTTGTAAAGAAAAAGAAAACTGAAAAGTCGGTTTTAAAAGATTTAACTTGCTAACTTTAAAGCGGAATTGTAAGAACTGAATATTCATTCTAGGTACTTACAGCATGCCCAAGTACTGCGTGTGCTATTTCATGGCCCAGAAGGAAGGAAAGTTGATGGATATCAGTCACACTATTTAAAAGCCCGGTGAAGATAAACACTTGTCCATTCTGCACCATAAAGAAAACAATGTAAGCAAGTGGACACCTTAAAAAAACAAGGACATTAAATTGAACAATTAAACATTAGGTGTGAGAACTTTCACTTACTGGAAGCACGAAGGCATTTACATCTGGGGAATCAACCACATGAATAATCCAATTGATCTCAGAGACCCCTGGAATATCTTTATTGCATTCAATCAAATGATTAACCACCTCCTTAACCATTAGGTATCGGGCATCCTTCTCAGTGAGCATATCATTTTTAAATTCGTCCATCCACTGAAAGATTAAAAAGTCATCTTTATCTTAAGAGAGTTGTAGCTCTACTACAAAATGTTTATACTGCTTCACGAAAAGTTATATGGCTACTTATTGTTGAACATTTTAATTTTTAATTATGTAAAAATCTACATATACTAAACACTCAGATCCTTAAATCTGAATTATTCAGGCAAAGACAATGTGATTTCTCACAAATGGAATGAATTCAAATAACTAAGATTTTTCATATAAATTGGTTGAAATAAAACTTTTTTCTATTAGCCTGTAAACAAATAAAATGCTTAAATATGATTTCTACTTTTCCTAAATATTTTGGAAAACAAAACATTGCCTAGGGGACAAAGATTTCACGTAAGGAAATATAAAACAAAATTACTTTCATAACCTACTGAAGAGAACAGCCTATACTTAATGAAAAAAAAACTTCTACTAAAAAAAAGGACATTTCATTAATTTTAAAGGTTTATTCACACAGAATCAAAGGAAATTTCTGAAATTTTAGAATAGGCATGTCATTTTCTCTACACTATGTTGAGTAAGAGTAGCCACCATATGAAGACACTTTTCTGAAGCTATATTCATGAGAAACCCTTTCAAGTGTAGGAAAATTAAAGGTGTTCTGAAAATATTACTTTAATTTCCACAAAATGTGTAACAACTTCTTTCACATATGGAGCAAAAAGTTTATAACCTTCCCTGAGATGTATTAAAAATAGATGTTTTTATAGCACTAGAATCTAAATAGTCTTTAGAATAGCATTTTTAGAAAGCACAAGTCACCACTGTAAACTGAAACAACAAAAAATACTATTATACTTCTGAAGTAGACAAAACAAGCAAAATTATACCTAATAACAGCACTTTATAATATCTCTATAAGAACATGTGCTTCAATTTTTATATCAAGCAGGTTATTACATTTGTAGGAAAAAAAGGATATATATGAACACATAATTTTTTAAAGCGTCTAAGTGATATGAATGGTAGAAGACATACTAATTTAACACTAGGCCTGCCTCAATCTTTCCAGAACATTTTCCTCAAACTTGCTTCAGGTAAGACTATCCTAAGAAACACCTCTAAGTTCTACTAGAAGAGATGCATCTTATCTTTACTAGGAACAACCTTTTTAGTGAAAAAACATTATTTCTTTTTTAATGGTAACCTTCCACCAACAAACTCAGAAGCTTCACTGAAATAAAAAGCCACAAAGATTCAGCCATGCCAAAACTGTCAAGTGAGACTATGAGACTTTAATTCAAAAAATACTGAGTACATGCTATATATGTGTGCTAAGAACTGGGAAAAAGAGGATCTGTCCTCAAGAAACTCTCTAGTGGTATAAAATGCTTAACTTACCTCATACTTGCGAAGGAGTTAAGGCTTCTGAATTCCAACTTTATTTTGCATTCAAAAAATATAATAAATTGCCAGAAATGATATTTTAGAAAAAAATCCTATTCTACATTACTTTCAAGGTACAAAATTCTATTACATACCTACTTATCTAAAATACAAGTATACTAAGCACTACTTTGTACACTGTGCTAGTACTTAAGATAAAAATGAGGAAACAGACAGGGTCTGTGTTCCCACAGAGCTTAGGCTAACAAAGGAGACAGATCAGCAAACAAATAATTATGCAAATAATTATTATGTTACCCTCATGATATGTGATTTAAGGGAACAGTACAGTATGCAAAGAGAAAACAAAAGTAGGAGACTGGACCACAATAGAGCCAAGCACTGGACACAAATACAAATGTGCTCATTCATAATTTAGTCTGTATGAAGGATACCCCCTAGAGCCTAAAGTAGCCAACCTACGTAACCCAGCCTGGATAATCAAGGGAGGCTTTCCTGAGAAAGTGACATTTAGGGTGACATGTGATGAGCAGGAGTTAGCTGGGTGAATGAGAAGAAAAGCAACGTAGGCAGTAGGAATACTAAGTACAAAAAGTTGGGGGCCTTTTGGGAAAATGCTAATTTTCTATCAAAGATCAACATTAAAAAGTAGTGCATCTTTCATCTGAAGAAACTTTCCTGCTTTGAGTATTATATTAAGCAATCTAATTACAAACAATTCTTAATACTTACTACTTCATATTCCAGTTCTGATAAAAGTCTGAAATGTTCTTTCCCCAATAATAGTAGCTTCCTCCTTCCCGTGACAGGACTCACTTCCAGGTGAGTAAAATAAAACACTACAAAGAGCAATCCAAAACTACTGAAACATAGGAGTAACTTCCATTTATTCTTTCTTAAACTTTCTTTAAATAGTTCCTTCTTGTTAGGAGGAAGTGCCTGCCACCATTTCCTTATGCCCCTAGAGTAAAAGGAAAATTCAAAGTCCTGAGAAGAGTATCAGCATATATCCAAAACTTAATCTTATGCTGGGATTTTATGTCTTCAAACACTTGAATTTTTCTGATATATTTCTCTGTATAGATGAGTTTTTTTCAATTTATAAAATTCTTAGTTAAATGATAAACAAGTAATCAGTTATATAGAACTATAGTTAAAAATCCTAATGTTCATTACACACATTTTATTCTTCAGTTATTTTAAAGGTGAACACTGAGTATCTATTTTACACAACTTCCATTAATTAACTTTTATTGACTGTTTACCACATGCAAATCACTATTCAAATTGTTACACATATGTCATCTAATTTAACCTTCACAATAACCCCATTAGACAAGAGAAAACTGAGACAGAGAGAGAAGTGAAGCAACTTGCCCAAGGTTGCAGAAGTGATAAGGGAAAACTAGGCAAGGAAGACAATGTGATCCCCGAATCTGAGCACTTAACCACTGAGTAGGGATGAACTGCCCCCATAAACATCTGAGTAGATTATGGTAACAATAACCTGTTCCTTTAACCATGATCCTCCCCACTGCTCATGAGACTTCTGGCACTAGTACTATCTGCCAGTACTTCAGCAAGGTATAAGGGAAACTACCTCAGGATTGATTTTAGATGTAAGTATTGCTCACCAGAAAAAAGTACACTATCCCCTCAAGAACATGACAAAGGATAAGTAATAAGGGCTTAAACACTATAAATAAAGAAATGAGAGACCGTATGGTTAACACAGGAGGAGGTCTACTTTCTACCAGGCAACAATACTCTCTGTTGTTTACTGGGGTTCACAGACATTTTGATAAGCAATGTTTCCAACACCGGGGCAAAATTTTCCCTCGTAAGTTCATCTGTGAAATCATAACAAAAATTTAAGATAAATACATTATTCTCTTGACACAATTCATCTTATCAAATAACTTCAAGTTATCTTAATTTTATTAAGTGACACACCTAAAATGCCTCAAAGTGTTTCAACCTGAAGAAACTTAGGCCAGACTCATTTCCAACTTAAACTTTATAAGACTTATTATTTTTTGCTTAAAATTATGAAAACACAGCTTAAAAGAAAATGTTAAGTTGTTATAATAGTAACAAAAACAAAAAGTTAAAAATAATGATTAAAAAGGACAATAAAGAGCCATTGGCCTAAGAACCTGGGCTGAGCTGTGACAAAGATTCTCTCTTCCACCAGAATCTACTCAGGCTTTTTTCAACAAGGCCTCACCTTTGGACTTCTGTATTTCTCTCTCCATTGTCCAGTTTCAGCAAGAGTCCTGCTAAATCAGAATCCCCCATCCTCCATATCTGATCACCCTCAGTATCTGATTAGGTTTATCATCATTCACCAGCCCCCAAGTGATATCTGATCACCCTTACCTGTCTTCGGCAAGAAGCTTGGTAGGGGGATGTTATAGAGAATTCCCCCTTATTCCTAATGATTCGTCTTAGCAATTTTCCATCCACCAAACCTCACCCTGCTCCTTGGCTATAAATTCCCACTTGCCCATGCTGTATTCAAAATTAACTCTATAAATTCCCTCTTGCCCATGCTGTATTCAAAATTAACTCTGGTTCTATACTTAGGTCTCTCTTCCCCTACTGCAAAAGTCCCGCATAAAATCTGTATTTACTGCTTTAACTATTGTCTAGCTCTGGTTTTCTCTGACAGCCGTTACTTACATCAAGAGCTACCACAGCTGTATTTCTTTCTAGGTGCCAATGTCAAATCATAAGCAACACAATATATTAAGAGAATAGAAGTTTTCAATTTCTGATAGAAAGAAAATTGATTTAGTTAGTATGGGAGTAGGAGGGCTAGAAGGGCCTTCACAATCATCAAATGTCAGAAAGCTTTATGAGGAGACAATGTTTGACTTTACCTTTCTTTAATAAATGGGGCAAATAAGACAAAACAAGATTATTTATGGGGGAGGTCTAAATTAAATATAAGGTACTATTAACTGTAAAAACATAATTATTATGAAGGACTACCCAAGAGAAAATAACAAAGATGTGTTGGAAATAGAAGAGAAAAATATTGCCTAGAAAAATAAAAGAGAAAAAATAAATGCTAGTTAAGCATTAACCTGGCTAGGAATGAGCCCATTCTTAAATAAGTAAAGTTCTTCAGTTTCATGACCCACTGCCTCAGATTCTGTAAACTAAACACATATGTTTCTAAGTACTGCTCTTATTACAAGCTGTAACCAACATTTCTCATTCTTATAATCACAAACATAAGATCTTTTAAAAAGCATCTATATAAGATAATTTTTTAAAGATCATATTTTTATACTATAATATGCAGTAAATTTGGGCACCTGGGTGGCTCAGTTGGTTAAGCATTCAACTCTTGATTTCAGCTCAGGTCATGATCTCAGGACTGTAAAGCTCAGAGATCTCAGGCTCCATGCTCAACGCAAAGTTTACTTAGGATTCTCATCCTTTCCCTCTGCCTCTCCCCCTTCTGTCTGTCTGTCTGTCTCTCTCTCTCCCAAGTAAATAAATAAATAAAATCATAAAAAAAAATATGCAGTAAATCATTTCAAAATTACTAAATCATACTTAACAAAACTGGGTAGAACCATCTGTTTAGAAACTGAATTTTGAGCTAAATATGGGTGGGAAATCTAATTAAAAGTACAGTTTGATAAATACATTGTAATATAAAAGTTGTTGTTTTTTTTTTTAAGTTTTTTTACCTGCCTACAATGATTGCAAATAGTTTCTGCACTGGCTTGAGAATTATCAACAAGAGAGGAACCGGAGCAGCTTGACACTGAGGAGAAGTGTGAAAACTCCTGATGTCTCTTTCATGAAGACAGTTTAGAGGATGCAATAGTGAAAGAGCAGGAACTCCTGTAACTTCTTTTATCTGTAGTTGTCTTGATAAAGAGTCATTCCACACAGTACGTTTTGGGGTAACCATCCCAATTTCCTTACATCTCGTGCTCAAGAGGCATCCTGGTCTTTCATTACTGAAGGTCTTAGAGAAAGAAAAATTTTCAGGCAGAAAAGTCAACCTATCATACTGATTTACTCCCAGACCCTGATACTTATTAACTATATGATTAATTTGTACTTGATGACAGTCTGGTGAGGTTACAGCTCGTGTGTTACATTTTCTCCAGTGGGCCAGCAAATGAAATCGGAAGAAAACACAGTTTCTAGTAGCAGATTGCAGTCCATAGATTAAGTTCATCTTTCTTCTCCTTGATTATCTGGAACACACACACACACACAAGTAAGTTAAAAATATCTCTGGAAAATATGTATTTACAAAACTGGGAACATAACTCTTAAGAAATAGGTGTGTCAATTGTTCTTCTCCTGACATATTTCAGACTGAATTACCTTGGGTTTCTACCACCACGCCCATGCAATACAAACCAAACAGCTTTTACTCACTTTTTTTTTCCCCTCTACAACACATCCTTAGAAATTTGTATTTTTTTTCTCCTTTTCATTTTTTAGTTTCAGCTGGGGGAAATCTTTTTATTTTAACAGTTAAATTATTGGGGAATAAGAAATGAATTAAAATAACAGTAGGTTTAGTAACTGGCAGTAAGTAAAGGGAAAAGCATGTAATGGAATAGTAAAATCTAAGTTTAAAAATGTATTTTTTAAAATACAATCTGATCCTTTCAAATAAAATCCTCATACTACTGACTGGGGTCAAGATGGAATAAGATGAACTAGACTTATCCTCCCACTGAAAACAAATGAAAAAACAGAATAAATAAAACAATGGTTTCAACACACTGGACATCAGGCAATGAAGACCAGTGATCCCTGATAGATGGAAAACAAATATGATGAGCCCTACAGTTGCCCCAGCTTCTTACCTAGAGAATTTCCAGGCCACTATGTAGACAGGGGAAACCTAGCACAGCCCAACAATGTTCCTAAATTGGAGAGATGAAGTTGGGAGTTCACGTAGGCCACAGAAATGAGACCCTGCAGAGCAGAGTACAAGAGAAGACACAACTGTGCAGAGAAAGAATTCCAGAGGTGATTGGCAGGGAAATCTGCTTGGTGCCCTCAATTGAGTTCTAAACAGGGCATTCATGTGAAGAAAGTCCCTAAAGATGAGAAAGAATCACTTGACAGGATTAGAGGAGCAATATTCAGGGCCCGAGGAAGGCAGACAAGAGTGCCTATTTCTACCCTTCAAAGTGGAAAACCTCTGAATTCACGGGCCATTGGGTAGAGTACTCAGAAGAGTTTTGCCCCACTAGAGAAAAATTAGTCCTAGGCTAAAAGCTACTCTGGCGTACCCAACCAAGATTAAAAGCAACACTAGCCATACCCAACCAAGATTAAAAGCAAGACTAAAAAAGATCAAACTGTTTTTAAGGAACTTAACCACATTCTGGAAAAAAGCTTAAAAACAGTTAAAAGAATATAAAAATATCTACCACTAATAAGGTAAAATTCATAATTAAAAATTACCAGCAGCCAAGATGCAGGATATGTGAACCATAATTAGGAAAAATAAAAACTCAGTCCCAAATAACATGAGCGACAGCACTAATTGATTAAGGATATTAAAGTAGTTATTACAACTATATCCTATGTGTTTAGGAACTTAAAGGAAAATCTGAGAACGTTATGTAGAGACATGGAATATGTTTTTTTAAAAAGACCTACAAAGAACATCGAGACAAGAAAAGTACAATGCCTTCAATGAAAATTACACTGGATGACACTAACAGCAGATTAGATATTGTAACAATGAAATAAAAACTTGTGAACTTGACATATCAATAGGGACCAAGAAAACCAAAATAAAAAACCAAGGGGGGAAAAAATAGGCACAGAGCATCAGGAAGATATAGGATAAGTCAAGTGGCCTAATATATGTATAACTGGAGTCCCTGGAAAGAGGGGAAGGCTGGTAGTAGATAGATAGATAGATAGAAAAAAGGAGGGAGGGAGGGAGGAAGCGAGGAAGGAAGGAAGGAAGGAAGGAAGGAAGAAAGAGAAAAAGAAAAACTTGGAAAAATAATGGCCAACATTTTCCAAATTTCATGAAAACTGTAAACCCACAAATCTAAGAAATTTAAAAAGCCAAACACATAGTAAACCAAAGGAAACTTACTTAAAGACATATCCTAATCAAATTTCTTAAAACGAGTGGAAGAGAAAAAATTAAATTTCACACCTTTGATAAAATGGACCAATTCCCTGACAAACACAAACTACCAAAGCTAATTCAGAAAGAAATGGATATATCTGAAAAGCCTTATATTTATTTTTTTAAATTGAACTTGTAGTTAAAAACCTTCCTGCAAAGAAAGCTCCCAGCCCAAATATCTTCACTGGGCAATTCTACCAAACATTTAAGAAAGAATTAAAAAAATTCTATTTAAACTCTTCCAGCAAATTGAAAAGAAATTAATAGTTTATATTTTATTCCATAAAATCTGCATTACTGTGATACTAAAGCCAGAAAAAAATTACAAGACTATAGAGTAATATCTCTCATGAACATAGATACAAAACAACATTTTAGAAAATCGAATTCAACAATATATAAAAAGACTACTTCATAACCAGCTGAGATGTGTCCCAGGAATGTAAGTTTGAATAAAAATTCATAAAGCAATGTAATCCACCCTATTTATTGAAAAAGAAACACTACCTGATCATCTCAATAAAGAAAAAGCATTTTTTTAAAGATTTTATTTATTTATTTGTCAGAGGGAGAGAGCAAGAGAGCACAAGCAGAGGGAGCCACAAGCAGAGAGAGAAGTAGGCTGCCCGCTGAGCAAGGAGCACAATGCAGCACTTGACCCCAGGACCCCAGGATCATGACCTGAGCTGAAGGCAGTCACTCAACTGACTGAGCCACCAGGGTGCCCTAGAAAAAGCATTTGATAAAATTCCACATCCAACCCTGATAAAAAACAACAACAAAAAAAAATCTCTCCGTAAACTACAACACCTATAGAAAACTATAACCAACAGCGTAGTTATTGGAGAAAGACTATACTTTCCTCCTAAGATCAGTACTGAGTCAAGGATGCTCACTCTTACCACTTAAATTCAATATTGTACTAGAGATCCTAGTCAACACAATAGAATGAATAAATGTCTAATTAAATAAATGGCACACAGACAAGCAACATATAAGCTAAATGGCCTTAATGCCTACATAACATGATCATCTATTTTTAAAATCCAAAGATGGGGCGCCTGGGTGGCTCAGTGGGTTGAAGCCTCTGCCTTTGGCTCAGGTAATGATGCTCAGGTCATGATCCTAGGGTCCTGGGATCCAGCCCCACATTGGGCTCTCTGCTCAGCAGGGAGCCTGCTTCCCTTCCTCTCTCTGCCTGCCTATCTGCCTACTTTTGATCTCTGTCAAATAAATAAATAAATAAAATCTTTAAAAAAAATAAAATAAATTTAAGAAAGAATCCAAAGATATCATAATAAATTTAGTTAGGGGGCAGGATACAAAAGCAATATACAAAAACAATTTTATCTCTATATACTATCAAGTGATAGAAGCCAGACCCTACATCCTCCAAAAAAGTGCATATTCTATGATTCCGGGTCTATAATATAAACTGTAGAAAATGCAAAATAATTTATATTTCAAAGAGATCAATGATTGCCTAAGGATGGGAAGGTAAAAATCAGGAAAGAGATTATAAAGTTTTGGAGATAACAAATATGTTCACTATTTTTACTGTGGTGTTAGTTTCACAGCTTTACACACATGCCAAAACCTATACTACAAGCTTAAATATGTACGATTTATTTTATATTAATTACATATCAATTGAACTATTTTTCAAAAGATACTAAAAAGAGACAACAATAAAATGCAATGTGTGAACTCTGATTAGAAGTTAGTTTGAAAGAAAAAAAAACAGCTTTAGGAGATAACTGGGACTCTGGGGGAATTTACACATGGATTTGCTTTTAGGTTATTTTAGGTAAGTACTGCTTATTAGATGATAATGATGTGGTTATGTAGGTGAATATCTTATACCTGACTGAGTACTCACTGAAGTAGCTCTTTATGATGAATAAAATTCATCATTTCAAATTATATAACGAAAACACTCACACACACACACACGTGCGTGCGACATAAAGCCAATGCAGTAAAATATTAACAATCGTATCTAAGTCATGTTTATAGATGTGTTCATTAAAATTTTTTTCAACTTTTCTGCTTCAAAATCTTCACAATAAAGGTTGGAGGAAAATATGTAAATCTAACTCAAACTAGACTAATACAATATTATCTAGAAAGATGCTTCAGAACATCAGTTTTAATAAGCCACATTACCTATATATCAAGCTATTTGAAAGTCACTCAAAATTTGTATATACTTTATATATTCCAACCTTGAATTATTAACATATCATTTGAATAAAGGGCATGCTAAGTAAACATCAATTCCAAGTAAACCTTTTGGTATCACTATCCATTTTAAATCAGAGTCCAGACTTGATACATAATAATCTGATGTTATTAACAAGACACTTTCCAGGTTTGTTTTTTTTTTTTTTTTTTTGGAACGAGGCTGAATGTAGTAAAATAACTGAGGCTTAAAAATCATTTCAAAATTAGTATTTGAGTAGCTAGTAAGGTTCTTCATCAGCTAGGTAGTTTGTGAGTTACAGATGCAGCATAAAATCCAGTCCCTGCCTTCATGGATGTTATGGAGTTGATGGGGAAAATGTATCTAAACAAGACTATTAAGGGATATTAAGATATAGTTCCTCATTAAGTGTCACGCATTAAATGAATTTTTAAAAAAGAACGGAAATCCATGAGTAGCAGAAGAGTTCAAGGCAACTCTTCTTTTTTATGCCATATGGAAAGATGGAGAAAAAAATTGTTTCAAATGGGAAAATATACTTAAGGTTTAAAAATCTGCTAGAAGTCAAACTGCAAAAACAACACAAACCCACATTCTTAGATCCTTTACTATAGGAAATAAGCTTCAGACACTTGCCCGACCACACTCCCTTTATAATGGCATCCTACAGCCTCAACTTAAGGGACAGGGCCGGACTTTCAACCTTTCCCAGTGGCCCCTGCCACTGGCCACAGAACCAGGAGTGGATATGTGACACAGAAAAGACTTTTGGTGAGGCAGTATCAGGCAAAGGAGTAAAGGCATGTATAAACTGAGTTATAGTTGGTGCTATGGCAACACAAAGCAATTTGCAAGCAAGAACTGCAAACAAAAGCCTTTACAAAAGAAAGAGATCAACAGAAAGGATAATGGAATCAATGTGAGGAAAGGAAAAGATCGTGAAGTCTCAGGAAGAAAAAAAGGTGGGGGGGTGGGGCAAGATTCAAACCATCCTGCTCCCAAGAGCCCACTGTACTTCTAAATTTAACTGAGCTTCATGAGCTTTTATTTTCTTCCAAAAACAATTCCCTCTCTTCAAAGAGTTTCTGTATCTTGTAAATAAGTGATCTCTGATTTAAGAAGTTACACGGTATAAGTTACACCTTTCATATACAAGCTGATAACATTTTGACATTATACATGCTGCTTATTAGAATTAGCTAAGGGTTCCTTCTAGACTTTGTAAAGCCAAACTCCCAATTTTCAACACTGAATCAGTTCCAGATAATCAGTTCTGGGTAATCTCTGCAGTGACTTTACCATACAAAAGATCCACATGAAATCAGTCATGTCAATTCTTCCTCCTTAATCTCTCAATCTACACTTTCCTGGGCTCTGTGGCCTTAAATTGTGGATTACTATATACCCTCCACTCTCTCTGCCTATTAAACCACCAACTCCTACCCCTCCAGCTCATCACACCCCCCAAACTAGAGCTAAGCAATCTTTCTAAAATGCGAATCAGACAACAGAATCCTACTCCCACAACTCACATAAAGTCCTACACTGTTAAGTACTATCCAGCCATTTTTTAAAAATTGGAGATCTGTGTAATGGCAAAAAGAGACACAAATCTTAAAAATTCTTAAAAATAACAACAAATGCTACTTGCAAAAATTCTGTAGATCAGGAATGGCAAATTCAGATGTGTAAACCAGCGCAGGACGACAGAAATTTCTGCAATGATAGAAATGTATCTGCGTTGTTCAATATGGTAGCTCCTACCTATTGCTACTGAGCACTCAAAATGTGGCTGGTGTGACTGAGGAACAGAATTCTTAATGAACTCAACTTTAGTTCATTTGAAACAAAATGGCCATAGGTGACGAGTGGCTACTGCACTCAATAGCGCAAGTCTGTAGGGTCCAGGCAAAGTCATACTTAAGTAAATGCAGGTTCATGTCCATCTAAAGAAGATGCAACAAGTGTAAAGGAACTTGAGCTTAGTGTTACCACAGTTCAGTATTTTCAAGAAAAGTCAGAAATTCAAGCTTAATGTGAAAAAGTTATCAGTTTTAAAATGCTGGCAAAGAACTTAAAAAACAAACAAACAAAAACGTTTTTAACCACCTCGGCCCAACAAACCTACACTAGACCCCATTCAGGTTTTGATCTCTGAATGATGTTATTCATTCATTAAATATTTAATGAGTGCCTCCTACATGCCATACCACATGCCATTCTGGATTTTTGAGATACCACAGAAAATAAAGCAAACAAAAATCTCTGCCCAACTTACAAAAATAGCAATGCTGAAATATGCTAGTATATATAGATATAAATAAATCTAAAGCAAAACACAGCAAACTATTCATTATGGTTATTTTGAGTGGCAGAATGGTGGATGTAAAGGATTTAGTATTTTCATCTCATGTATTTCTGTGCTGTTTAAATTTTTACAGGATGTACTGTTACTCTTATAAGCCCCAAAACCAATAAAGGCAACTACTTTTGTAATTTCCAGTGGTTTCCATGGGCTTCCATAAACTCCTCTATATAGAAGACCAAGCCGCTCATAACACCACCTCCCACTGTTTCTCCAGGCATCTTACCCCAGCTCTCCCTCCCCCATTCCTAAGCTCTAGACCCACTGATTTACTTATACCCTTCAGAAAAGCTCGCGTCTCTATTTCTATGCACATCTATGACACTGCTTAGCTCTGTGACTACTGCAAGCAAACTCCCTCTCATCTCTCATGTCTTGTGTGAAATCTTTAAAAAATTTTGACACAGAAGGTATAAGCAAAAGCCCCAAACATTACATGAACATAACTAGAAACATTATCATCTGTTTCACTGACAGTCAAGTGTCATTTAGAACAGAAATAGTGCCTGATATTTTGCAATCCCTCGTTTATCCTTAAGAAAGGGTAAAGGACTGGGGAAGAAATCTATTTATATGTTTTCAAAGAGCCAACACTAGACTACACAGAGCCTTAGAAAGAATCAGGGTTGACACTTCCTCTTCAAAGAACCGTAGCTGGTCAACTAACATAGCTGGCAAACTTCTAAGATTACTAAATTAATGATGTGAGAAAAATCACACAAGTTGGATTGTTAGCCTCTAAGAACATTTCAGATCCTTAATTCTTCAAGTACCATCTCCGAACGAGCAAGGACAGCACTCACTGGCACTCGCAGCCGAAGCCTGGAAGACAGTTTTAACAACTCTGCTGAAAATGACTATTTCTTCTCTGGTTTCTATGGAAACAGCTGTCAGATTGGCAAAAATAGGACGTGTACTTTAAAATAATCATTCAAGCAAAGTACACCCATGATGGAAGACTTTTTAAAAAATCAATAAATTGGAAGGCAACAGACTTGGTTCTTAAGCTTCCAAATGCCAGGCTGCACCCCTTCGCCCCCACGCCTGAGAGGATGGAGAGAGACCCACATCACTTTCTCGAGGGTTACACAGCACTGGCTGCAGTCACTAGAGCCCGTCAGTCCCTGAGTTCCCCATGAGCTATTCTCATCGCCCCGGACTCAAGTTTCTCACTGAGGACCGCAGAGCGCAACAACACCGTTGCTCCTCTTTACGCAGGCAAGTGACATTCTTTAAAGAGTGTAAAGAGCAGCATCCGTAGACGACTTCATGAAGGAATTATCACAACTCCGGGGCACTGTTTCGACAGGAAATGTTCCGTTCTTCGTGGCGGGGCTTAGGCAGGAAAACTTTTATGCTCTCGGCTTTCAGAAGGAGGAGGTAAGAGAGGGATTGCCTCCCGGGCTGCTTCAGGCGGCTAGAAGCGGTTTTCCACAGGGGAAGGCGTCCGTGTGAGGCACGCCGGGCTGCGTTAATTATACTACTTTAAACAGACAGACAGACAGACAGCCGCTGAAGAGAAGGAAAGGCTGAGGGGAGAGGCCGGGTTCTCTTTCCGGAAACCACATCCACCTGCCGACTTGCACTTCCCCGGCTGGCTGGGCATCCTGGGGTCCCTGCACTTCACGCCGGGAGGGGAGAGACGGCCGAGGAGGGACTCTCCCGTACCTCTCTTCCACTCGCCCCTCTCCCCCGACCGCAGACGCCGGCCCTCCCCACTCCCGCCCAGACGCCCCTTCTTCCCTGCCCCCCAGGCTCCGCCACCCCAACCTTCCCTTCGGTGCTCACGAGCCCCGCCCCTCATCCCGCCCCCGCTCCGAAGTCCTTCCACCTCGAAGTCCTTCCACCCCAGCTCGACCACTCTGCCCCCGCCCCCTGGGCCCGGCCCAACTCGTAAAAGAAGGGCAAACGCGTCCCCACCAGGACAGACCCTAGCAGTGGCGAAAAACGAAGACTCCGCCGACCGGACCTTTGCGCAAGCGCCTACCCCATCGCAGAAGCCCCGCCTCCTCACTTCCTGCCCCCTGTCCGGGCCGGGGCGCCTTTTGCTCCGCCCACACCCGCAGAGTAGTCCCCCTAGCGGGCCACTGACCGGGAGCCCCGGGAGGCGCTCTGACGCCCCCGCGTGGCCGGAGGAGGGACGTGGTTGCGGGCTAGGCTGTTTGCCGGTCAGGTCTTCCCTCGTGTCCTTGGAACCTGGTTTGGGACCTCTAAAGAATGATCCAGGCAAGGCTGTGACGGCTCAAGAGTCTACGGCAGGGCCGGCCAAAGGGAAAGAGACTCGAGGGCTGCCGAAAGACTAAGGTTTCTTGGTTTTGAAGTTGCAATGATGAAAGTAGTCTCTGGAGTGAGAGCTCTCTGCTTCACGTGACTTCACATGACTTCCGGAACGACACATTTTAAGAAAAATGAAGTACAACCTGAAGCAGCTGGAAGTTCGTTGAAAATAACTAGCTACAAAACAATGCGTCTAGTATGTCTGGTTTATGCCACCAAAAAATACTTACCCAGCACCAAGTGTGTTCTAGGTGCCAGGGGTGCAGCAGTGAACAAGAGAAGGACGTGACTTTCATGGAGCTTGTATACACAGTGAGGAGATCTAGGCAGTGAGCAAACGAACAAGGAAATAAACACGGTATCAGATAGTGGTATGATTCTGTATTTGTTAGATTGATATTCTGCGCACGATGAAAAACATCCTAAAACACTGAGGACACCTTTAGAGGATTATAAGGTTTTAAAGATTATAGGCACTATTTTCTTTAGCCTTGCTTATTTGTGTTTTCTAATTTGCTTTTACTTTGAAGGAACTATCCTGGCAGATCCCTGATCACTGATTCCCTGAAAACGGAAGTGGCAGGTCCCTGAATCTTCATGGGCTTTTCTGAAAGGCATGTGTCTGACCAAGGGTTGCAATGTGCTAGCTATCTCCTGCTCAGCATGCCTGAGGAGCACGCTGCTATCAGTGTAACAGATGGGGTGGGGCTCTCTGCGATGTCCAGGTGGTTCAGATCCTTTTGGACTGTGTTATGACAGATCACCAAGATGGCGCAGTGACTATCATCAGGTCAACTACATGCTTAAGTCCACAGTCAATAAACTGTTCTCCTGGTTTCTGAAGCGGCCAGACTGGCAAATTAAATGGAGATTAAATGACAAATTAAATTAAATTAAATTAAATGACAGGACAACTACTCTGTATACTTTAGGTATTTTTTTTTCTAAGATTTTATTTATTTATTTGACAGACAGAGATCACAAGTAGGCGGAGAGGCAGGCGGGGGGGTGGGGGAAGCAGGGCCCCTGCCAAGCAGAGAGCCCAATGCAGGGCCCAATCCCAGGACCCTGGGATCACTGAAGGCAGAGGCTTTAACCCACTGAGCCACCCAGGCACCCCTCCTTTAGATCTTTAATGGTGGCATTAATCTCTACCATTCTCCTCCTATCCCCTTGGGTAAAATATTGGTTTTGCTTTATTAGCTCATCTTTGGTAGGGAAGGGACAGTTTTAGTGGCTTTCCTTGGTCTTCCCCAACATGAGTACTCAAGGCCAAGGACCTAATGTGGAGCTTGCTCTCAATATATCATCCCAATAATACACTCAGGGACTGAGGAAAGACCAGTGGATGGGTCTGTGCTCCCATGGACTCGTCAAAAGCTGGATATCATCCAGGACTCTGCTTACCACGTGACCCCCGTAATTACAGAGGGACCATGATAACACTTTGGGTTTCTGGCTAATGAGATCCTTTCAGACCCTGCAAAATTTCTGGGTGTTTCTCTTTCCCCAACATACAGCTAGCCGTGAAAATGGTCACAGTCCATAGAGTAATCATTATAGTAGATATTTGTTTCTGTGTTGCGGCGTCCTTCCTAAAGACCCAGCCACCTCTTCAGTTGATGGGTTCTGTGGTTTTGGTCTGAAGATTGACTGAGATCTGAGAACTGAGCAAGAAGCATGACTTTTTTATTAGGGCAACCACCTTCAGACTCCTGCTCCCCCATTCTTGCCTTCTTCTGGTTATAGATATTAAGCAGCACCCTGCTAGCTGCCCATCTAGTTTTCCCCTGCCCACCTTATACTATTAAATACCTTCAGAGCCCCTGAGGATCTGATTCCCTGCGAAGCCTCTCTTAACTTGGCAGCTTTTCTGGTAATTACAGCCTCCAGGCTTCTGGTGGTGAAGGCCACCACCTGGCTTCTGTGGCCCCAGGATGCTGTCATTACCGACCAAGATATTACCAACCCCAGCCCTATGACTGCTTCTCTTCCCATCATCCCTGGCCTGCAGAAAAGAACCCCATCTGAACTTCTTAGTGATGCTGGTACTTCTCTCACTAGTGCATTTCCCATCGCCATTGTGGATGGTCTTTCCTTTAGATCTCCCATGGAGCATACCCATCTGTCTGGTCTTCTGGCTCCACAAGAAATCCTTCCAGCAGGCCCACTTCTCTCGGGACCTTCTTTTCTTCCTCAACAGTCTGCTAGGACAATTCAGCGGCCTTCCTCCCTAGAGACTTCCCTTGGCAAAGACTGATATAATCTGCCTCATCCAAAATATGCTTTTTCCCCAGGAACAGCATGCATCCAGTGACTGGTTAATTTAGGGGATACAAAGGCCTAGCCCCTGTGCCTCAGTTGAGGACAACACTACAAGGTCACCGCACTTCCAGAACTCTCCATAGGATTGTCTGAGAAGCACCATTTCTCCCTCTGCCCAGTCCTCTGCCCCTCACTTGTGGGTGTTGTCCCTGAGGACCCCTCCATCGCACCCCCAACAACTCTGCACACACAGACTTATCTCAGAGGCTGTTTCCAGGGAACCCAACCCAGGGTAACTCAGTTTTTTCCAGAGGTAGAAGCTGCCTGGATACAGAGAGACTTTCTTCTACACTTCCCAGAGGAAGTACCAGAAGCTGAATCCTCAGTTAAAGAGAGAGTAACTGAAGAATTGTGAAGCTCAGCTTGGTTTAAAACCAGCTGTAGACAGTAGCTCAATAGACTACGTAACTCTCTGCTGATCTCGATTCATTTTGAGAGCCAAGCAAGGTGGCCATGGGATTTGATAAGGGTCACACACTTGATAGGCTGCAGTGACCCGGTGATACGTTGACTGAAGGGAACTTTCATTTTTCTTGAACATGGGCCAGGCAGGACTGTTCTAAATGTTGGAACAGACCGGTTCTGATTCTGAAATGACCCCAGTGAAGACAACTACGGCATCTCCATTTGCCTGTTCCACTTCAACAAACACTCGCTCAGCATTTTCTTCATCCACAGGCTTGAATGATTTCACTTTTTCTTCTGGTAACTCAGCCTTTCTTCCCACAGAACACAATCAAGAATCAGGCATACCTTTAATTTTTTTCCTTTTTTTTTTTTTTTTTTTTTGGTTTGAAGAGAGTAGTCACACCAAGTTCTAGTGTGTTGTTTTCATAAATTGTTACCTGGATTGTTAGGCTCCCACTTGCTGAGTGGTCTCCGTGACTTGGTCTCATGCCACTTGTCCAAATAGCAGCCATCTGGCCTCAGGTCCTGAAGTTGGGGCCAAGATGATGCAATGTGGGTCAGCAACTGCAAGCCAGGTCCTAGAAGAAGCCCATTGCTTCGACATGTCCTTTGCTCCTTCCCCAGGAATGAGTTCTCCAGAGATTTCAGTGGAGCACTCTTTTAAGAGTCAGCACAAACTATTATTCCTTTATTATAAAAGTAAACTATTAATACCAAGAAAAATCAAACAAGTGAAAAGTGCCCTTAACCCACTACCCACAGATAATTAATCACTGTCAACACTCTGATATGCAACTCTCTTGAAATGCAAGATTAAAATTACTTTAGATATTTGAAACTTTGATAGAATGAAAGGTTCCTCACTGTCCTTTTAATGTGCATTCCCTTGATTTTTCAACGATGTAAACATTTTCCTGCTTATATGCTGTTTGGATTTCTTCTTTGGCAA